CCCCAAAACCCCAAAACCCCAAAACCCCAAAACCCCTTTTAAATTAATAATTATTGAAAAAAATTAGGCAGAATACTGTTCTAAAAGACAAGGATTGTTCTATCAAAGCTCACATTTTGACTCTAAAAGAATCTACTAGTTGTTGGTAGATCAAATGAAGTATGGTTTAGTGTCTCTATCTCTTGCTTATCACCTTGTAAACTCTGTGTGAAAATACAATCCTCAGTTGCTCCAATGGGAGAAAAGATGCCTATCTCCTGCTTCTGAGATTTGAGCAGCGAGTCGCTGCTCAAAATCTTAGCAGCATACTGATCGATCTCGTCTCTCAGTAGCTTCAAAAGATTTGTGCTTTCATGTCTTTTCTTAGGTGTTTTTCACGAAATTTCTCGATTTTTCTGGAGCTCAGCCATTCTTTTACCTTTTTTTGTCCTAGAAATATGATACATGAAGGGAGCCTTACCTAGCTTGGAAGTTGTTAAAAGCCCCAAAGCTGTCTGCATCTCATCAGAAGGGGAAAGTACAGCCTAGATTTGTACATATTTTGATGCTATCACCTCTATAGAGTATATCAGTCCTAGCCTTACCAGTGGTAATGACGGTCTTAAGAATCTATAGACTTACTTCTTGTTTAGCTTGAATTGAGCCAGAGAGCTAGTGCATTTGGGGCATAACTGGCCTAAGGGTCTCTATAGATTTTAGAATTATAATTTGTGAAGAAAGATTAGAATTTTTGTATAGTTAAAGCCAAAGATAATGGAGAGCAAATTATGAGTTATAGGTTGGAATAAGATAAAGTGTGATGTTTGGTCATATAATCTCTTGTCTAAATTGTATCAGAATCGCCTCAAAACAACCATTCTCAACAGCACCAAATTCGCTTCAGACTAAAGCTTTCTAACCGATCCAAAAGTCTACAAATGCAAAACCACCCCACCAATACAGCCCCTCCTTCTCCCATTCCAAACTTCGAGCGCCTTACCATTTTCTCCATTTTTTTCTCAATTTTCTATATTTATTCTAAACACAGGGGTTTTGGGGTTTTGGGGTTTTGGGGTTTTGGGGTTTTGGGGTTTTGGGG